CCCCTCTCCCACTCAGTTACTTGTCAAAACTACTTAGGAAACCCGAATTAACTGATTTCGTTCTGTCTTCTGTTGCTGCCTCTGATAAATTGCAAATGAACCAAGTGAATATTAAAAGACAGGCAGCAGGAGGGAGAAGACAAAGAACGTGAATAGTCTGCTTAATGAACACCCAAACTCTCACATAATCTGGAAGATTAACTGTGTGAGGACTCAGTCTTCCATATTATCGACCCTCAAGGTGGGCTGAAACCTTCTTATTTTGGGCAAATTACCCATGGTTCCCACGTAAAATCAGGAATGAGAGCCCCCTTTCCTTCCTTTATTAATATATTAGTATGAATACAATGCAGAGATTCTTATACAATAAAGGACAAATCAGGGTACTGAACACTCACAGCCCAGGCCCTCAGCTCCTCCGTCTTCCTTCTATAGGTACGAAGCTTGTCATCACTAGCCAACCAGAGGGCAGGGATTTCCAATAAAGATGGACAATCCAGATTCTGCAGCATCTCAGCCAGAAGTGGTGACAGTTATTTTAAATTTTTTACATATTCCATGCCTCAAGTACTTCTCCATCTTCCCTCCAAAGTTAATGAAAAACTATTCCTGCTGCATAGGTGTGCACAACTGCGTGTGCACACACCCACACCACCCTCCATGCTCACACACAAACACACACACACACACACACACACACACACACACACACACAGTCTCCCAAAATACATGTAACCAGTTCAGTTGAGGCTGACAATGCATCAGAGCCTGTTTTTGTCTTGTTTTTTCATTGATTTCAGAGAGGAAAGGAGAGGGAGAGATAGAAACATCATCAATGATGAGAGAGCCTCCTGCACACCTCACACTGGGGATGGATCCCATAACCCAGGAATCCAACTGTGACCTGCTGGTTTATAGGTCAATGCTCAACCACTGAACCACACCTGTGAGGCAATCAGAGCCTGTTTGAAGACAAATCTGACTATTTCTTTCTACCCTTTCAGGATGGTGTGGCTCTGCCCAAGAAATAGGCTTCTTTCTTGATAAACTATTCCTGCCGTAAATCTGTCTTGTGGAGCAATCTCAATCACAGATGTCTCGCTAGTTCCTGGAACTCCAGGTGATGACAAAGCTTAAGCAAGAAAATAATGGCACCCCAGCTGGTTTGGCTCAGTGGATAGAGCGTCGGCCTGTGGACTGAAGGGTCCAGGGTTTAATTCCTGGTCAGAGCACATGCCTGGGTTGTGGGCTCAACCTTCAATGGGGGTGTCCAGGAGGCAGCCGATCAATGATTCTCTCATCAATGATTCTATTTTTAGATGAAGATAGTCCAGCATACCTTTTCCCTAATTTTATCTTGAAGACAAGGTGAATACATGCAGACAAATAGTGAAGCAAATATTGACTTATATTCATCATGGATGTGTAGGTTCCCCCTACCAGTCCCAGGGAGAGGACGGAGGTGGAACATCCCTGGGCAAGTCAGATCTTCTCTGTGCCAGATGCCCTCCCTCTCAGAAGGCTCCCTGGGATGTCTAGGACCTCTTGGTCCAGGCATTGACCTTTCAATTAGACTACATTCAACTATATTACATGTCAGGGACTACGGATCCAGCACAGGGTGGCCCAGTGGGTTGGGAATCAGGACCTGGCTGCCCGTCTCCTTACTGATCTTGGGCTAGCTCTAATGACAATAGGTCCAGTGCAGTCTCTCTCTTTTTTTTTTAACTGCCAGGTTTTAATTTTTAAATCTTTATTGTTGTAAGAATTATATATGTCCCCTTTTCTCTCCTATCCACCCCCTCCAGTCCACCCCTACTGCAAGCCCTCTCCACCCCACGGTCTGCGTCCATGGGTTATGCATATATGCATACAGGTAGTGGAGTCTTTGGACCATCAGCCTGTTATCTCAGGTCCTTGTTAAAGGTGCAGACGCCATCCCAGAGCAACTGAATAAAAATGTCTAGTGTTGGAGACCGAGGACTCTGCATTTTATAGCATCCTAAGGTATGGGACCTACTCAAGATTTGGAAGTCCTTATCTGAAACCCAGGGGCTAGAGATCTGTCATGTTCCCTTCCTGCTCTAACAGCCATTGGTTCTGGGTAGAAGCTCATTTTTTTAGGTTGGTCCCCATATTCTGCAGCCACATTCCTATGTCATTACCGGTCACATAGCAGACAGCTGCCAATTCACCAGGATTTAACAAGCATGTGGCAGTAACTATAACTTCTTCCCAACTTATTTTTTTGTTGTTGTTCATTGTTGTTATTGTTGTTTGTGTGTTTTTTATAATCCTCACCCGAGGATATTTTTTCAGTGATTTTCATAGAGAGTGGAAGAAAGAGGGAAAGAGAGAGAGAAAAATTAACGTAATTGATACACATCTATTGGTTGGCTCCTTGCACATGCCTCAACCAGGGCCCAGGACAGGGAGGAGCCTGCAATCAAGACACGTGCCTTTGACCAGAATCAAACCCAGGATCCTTGGGCCCACGGGCCAATGCTTTATCCACTGAGCCAAACCAGCTAGGGCTTCCCAACCTATTTTAAAAATCAAATATTTCCTAACCCTGGTGGTCAGCAGATGCAACAATCACATTGGTTTGAACTCTTGACGTGCTCCCCACATCAGAAAGAAACATTAAAAATGTACTCCATTCTCTTGCCATAAGAAGACCTCAACACTATAAGATGGCCCAGCTCCCTTAACGAACATAGAAGTCACATTTTAGGATTGTGAACAAAGTCACTCTCAACGAATTTCCTGTAGTTTCCAAGGCTGAATTGAATTTCAGCTCTTAAGCACTTGGAGCACCTGGTATAAGGTGACTCTCCATGCTCTCCACGTGGTGTGGCAAAGAGCGATTAAGCCAGGCAGTATTTCAAAATCCACATTATCGCCGAAACCGGTTTGGCTCAGTGGATAGAGCGTTGGCCTGTGGATTGAAAGGTCCCAGGTTCAATTCTGGTCAAGGGCATGTACCTTGGTTGCGGGCACATTCCCGGGAGGGGAGGTGGGTGTGCAAGAGGCAGCTGATAGATGATTCGCTCTCATCGATGTTTCTAACTCTCTGTCCTCTTTTCCTCTCTGTAAAAAACCAATAAAATATATTTTTTTTAAAAACACCACATTATCACTGCTGTTCTGTGTTTATTTAGTTAAATGCCATCTAATGAAGCCAAGGACATGGATTTGGTCTTTTGTAGGCCAGCTGACTTCCATCACTTTCTTTCAAATACCGCTCTTTTTGAAAATGTTGACCACTGGAGTTTGCAAAACTGTGAAAACCAGTTACTGGTAAAATACACCTCACAGTCTTTGATGTCAAGTCAGAAGGTTCCCCTTTAGATACTAAAGATACAAGTAGTAGATGTAGCCATGGACACTCTCAGGCAGATACCTTTTAGGTTGTTTTGCTGTATTATTATAACTCAAGTTAAAAACTCACTAATTCCATTATTTTACAGGAAATGCATTCTTCTAGAATAAACAGGTGTCTCTATGTGGTTACTGGCTCACCTGAAGGCTGGTCACCTAGTGCAGCCTGGGTCATTGTCTCTCCTAGTTATTCCTTCCTCCTTTTCTAGGACATAACAGCTCCCTTCCTGGCCCCTGAGCTCTGCCTCTCTCTCTCTCTTGGCCCCAGCCCCTGGAGTCCGAAACTGGAGTGGACAATACCCAGAGGCCTGCAGAGAGCATTCCCACTGCCTGTGCTTTCCCAGCCAACCAGGGTGAGCTTGGTAGGATGTAAATGGAGGGGAAGGAAAAGGGAATGTAAATGTGAGGTTTAAACTTCAATCTCTGAATCCTTTTGTTCATAACAGTCATATGAATAGCTACTGTTTATTGAGTTTTTAACTTTGAGTTAGTCCTTGGGAACAGCACTTAGATGCATGACCTTATTTAATTCTGATAGTGTTCTCCTACCTTGTCTCTGATCACTACACTAGAGCTCTGAAAAGTCTCCATTTCCTTACCCTCTTCCATATGTGCACCATGTAGCAGGGTTCTAAGGATTAGGTAAGAGGAGACTTGTGAAAGGTAATCGTGTGTCCAAGTAAGAAAAGGGAGGAAAACTTCAATGAAGGGAATTTAATGTCAGAGAGAAGCTGTACATCTGGGGCAGAGATGAAGAGACCATGCCAGGCCAGCCGAGCCTGACCTAGCTACGCATCCTGTCGTTCATGAGGCCTCCGCTGATGGAGGGGTGACAGCAGCAGCATCACAAGGTTGCTCTCCCCGGCGGGAGCACAGTGCAATGTTCACTCAGTACGGCTACGCACCCGGCTTTGTGCAGCTCGGGCACAAACGTCCAGTCCATGTCCATGTCTTTCCTAACATGTCAGGCCAAACGGCCCCTTCCCTCCTGGTGCAGGGAGCGTGTGGCAGGAGCGAGTGAACTGTGGCGGAAGAATTGGAAGGAGGCCCAGGAAGGTGCGGGTCCCTCTGCAGCCCTGGGTCAGAGATGGCGTTGGACTGCCCCTCATTTCTGCAGGTCTGCACACAGCGGAAAGGTAGGAAAGCACCGGCCCTCTCACTGAACCCGTCCATATTCTGAGCAAGACCCTGCAGACTTCAAAGCCTAAGCTGAGCTCCTGCCGCCTTCCACAGGGCCTTGAGGCCCGCAGGCTGGAGATACAGGGCAGTCATGCACCCAACAGAGACTCCAGACTTCCAGACGAAGTCATCTCCTTCTACCCACCACCTCTCTCCTCAAGGCCCTGGTGGATAGACAGCAAATGTTCTCAAGTCCCTACATCCTGAGAGTCCCCCCTGGAGGGAGGGAAAAGACCTCTGTCCCACCCACTGGGAGCCGAGAACCTGCAAAGTCCAATCCTCAAAGACCTCTAGCATCTCTTAAATAAGCTTTTTCTTTCCATTTTCACCCTTTAGTTATCATCCATCCATTCATTTACACAAATATAAAATAGATTTATATAGATTTATATATATAATCTTCTGTGATGCAGCGGAGAGGAGGCGGGATGCGGTCCCGGCTATTTGCACACGTGCTGGTCGACCACCTCCGTGCACTTCCTGCACTTGACGAAGCAGCACCAGTGGAACTTGCAGTGGCAGCGCTCCACCTGGACGCTCTTGAACTGGTCGTAGCCACGGCCGCAGCACATGAGCTCGCAGCCGTCCATGCCCTCTGAGGTCTTGTTGCAGAGGCGGCCCTGGGTGCCCAGGGAGCCCGTGGTGTCGTTGCGCAGGCAGTAGTCGGGGCTGGGGTCCACGTACACCAGGTCCTCCGGGGTGGGCTGGTTGAAGCGGCTGTTGACCAGCTCCAGCTTGCCTTTGCGGGTGATGCGCATGGCCGCGGCGCTGTCGTACTTCTCCTTCAGCTGGTCCCCCACCTTGCGGAACTCGGCCAGCTGGAGCCAGCAAGTCTTGAGGCTGCAGGATCCGGAGACGCCGTGGCATTTGCAGGCTACGTCTGCCATCTTATACACAGCCTGCGGGGAGGAGAGAGAAGGGAATAAGGAGAGTCCCTGATGGAAGATGTCACGAGGGTGGTCAGAGCGGCCACAGGCCAAGGACAGAAGAGGGCAGATGGGGGCAAGGGGAGTAGTCCTTCAATGTAAACAAAGACTTCTCCAGGACCCCTCATGGCTCAGACTGACAGCAAATAAAGGAGCGCTGTGAAGACACATGCCCGTGAGCACGCCGCAGTCTGACCCGTAACAAGGGTGGCATGGGGCACTTGCTACTTTATCCATTTGTTATGACTTGAAATTTGTCACAATCAATGTGTCAGGGGGGAAAAGGGATATTTCTATCTTGATCTCAAAAAAAGAAATAAAAACCAACAAGCTGTGTCCAGCTTCCATAGGATGTGAAGCACAAGTGAGAAAACAGAATCCAGTCAAATTACAAACCCGGGACAGGAACTGCTGGCAGGCCCTGGCTAGCCAAAGCTGTCCCAGTCCTGCCACAGCTCCTCAGAATTCAATAGTCACTAACCCCACAGAGTCATCAGGAGCCTCACCAGAAACCACATCGTATCTGATACCCCTGGGAGAGGCGGTGACAGTGGAGGGAAGGGGGTGAGGCCGGCCAGCGGGAGAGAAGGTCAGCAGAGGTCCATCTGCAGTGGTGATTCATCCGAAATCAAATCCACCCTGGAAGTCACTGAACCACAACAATGTGAAGCGGATTTGAACTTGGGCTATCCCAGATCAAACTGTAAAAGCAAAAGTAGACCAGAATGCTGCTCACAAAGTGCTTTCCGATGAAACCATACTGATGCGCTGAGTGAAACCGCCCTGGCAGCGGGCCCGGACTGCAGATGGCAGGATAGAAATGCAAGCCTGCTGCCGAACATTTTCCTCTGCCACAGCCATTGTCACCAACTCAGTGAGGACTCGTTTTTTTAAGAGTTTTTTCCTCAGATTTCTTTTCAAGAGGGCCCAGGTTATGCCTTTATTCAGCACTCTGTAGAGACCATTGCAGGTACAAAAACAACTTACCCATCAGCATATTACTATCGTCCAAACTCTTCCTGGTCTTTTTTTTTTTTTTTTTTTTTTTTTTCCTGGTATGGAATGATTCCCACTATTTTATAAAGGAAAAACTGAAGTTCTAGAAAGCCTCAGTAACCTGCTCAGGGCCACCCAGAAGGGACTCAGAATGCCTAGCACTTCTGCACTCCAGTCCTGGGGCTTAAAGACAGCTTAGGGCGAAGAAGGGAGGCAGGCTCCTCCCGAGGCTTAAGGCGCAGCACTTGGCTGGCAGCTCCAGGCCCAAGCATAAAGGAACCAATACCCCCTTCCAACAGGCACTTCAAAGGCAGGGCCTGCAATTACCCTCCTGGCACAAATCCCCGCGTCTGAGCTGGAGTCTGACATTCCTCTGGAAATGGTCCTCAGATGGGATGTCAGGCATCTGCGCTGCTGGAAGGAGGAAGCATTAGGGCCTAAAACTGTGTACCTTGCCACTAAGTGGCTAAGGAAGCAGGATAAGCATCTGCACTGGGAACAAACACTTAGGGAGATTTGGAGAAAAAGCGTCAAAAGCTGGACCTCAGAGAGTAAGGATAGGAATTTTAGTAAAACAAATTCAAGAGAAAGAATGTCACCGATCCTAACTATTTAGACATTCATTCCGTCCTTCCTCTAGAAAGCAAGACATTGTAGAGACGTAGTACTTGTTACTTTAAAATATTTTACTATCGATGATATATGTTCCTCTTGTCGGAGAATGGCAGGGCGGGGGAGAATCCCAATTTTTGCCCCCCCAACTGAAAAAGCAATAAAATGTTTGTTTGTTTTTTAAATGTTTTTAGTTCTCTATCTTGCCCCTGGCAAAGCCCTCTTTAAATCCTTCTTTACTTCTGCCTGACTGAGCATGGTAAAGACAGGAATGTCACAAAGATTAGGCAGCTTTTATCTGGAAAATACTTGGAAGCCCTTGAGGAGCAAGGTGGTATCAGCCCACTGCTCTTGCTATCAATATCTAAAAAGGAGTTACTAGAGAATCTTAAAGGGCAAGAGACATTTCTTGCAAAAATTCTCAAGATCTGCTCTGGGGTCAAGATGTCAAATCCCAGTTATTCTCTGTTTGTTTGTTTGTTTGTTTGTTTGTTTTCATCTGGTTGAAAAGTCCTGGCCGGAATGGCTGGTGAGTGTTGATCCACTCACCAATGGGTTACAGGTTTGATTCCTGGTTACAGGCATGTACATGGGTTGCAAGCTCCCCACATGTGGGAGTCAATCAGTCGATGTGTCTCTCACATCGATGTTTTCTCTCTTTCCCTTTCTCCCTCCTTCCCTCCCTTACACTCTCTCTGAAAAGCAATGGAAAAATATCCTCAGCTGAGGATTAACAACAACAACAAAAATCTGGTTGTGAATTACTTGTTCAGGGAATTTTCCATCCCTGCCACCATTTAATCCTTCCTGTGGACCTTCTTTTTTCCTCTTCTTTGGTTAATCCTCACCAGAAGATATTTTTTTCATTGATTTTTAAAATATATATATTTTATTGATTTCAGAGAAGAAGGAAGAGGGAGAGAGAGATAGTGAATCATTGGTGATAGAGAATCATTGATCAGCTGCCTCCTGCACACCCCCTACTGGGGATCGAGCCCAAAACCTGGGCAAGTGCCCAGAATCAAACCCAGGACCTTTCAGTCCGCAGGTTGATGCTCTATCCACTGAGCCAAATCAGCTGGGGTCATTGATTTTTAGAGGGTAGAAGGGAAGGACAGAGAAAAAGAAACATTGATGTTTGAGAGACACATCAATTGGTTGTCTCCTGCATGTGGGGTGCCGGAATCAAACCTGGGGCTCTTCAGTGCTCCGGCCAATCCTCCAACCACTGAGGCACACTGGCCAGGGCCTCTGGAACTTTTTTATGTAGGTGTGAGGAGGTGGAAGAGGAATAACTTTGGCCTCCGATGATGAGTAATGGCTGAGGCCTATTCCTTGAGAAAAGGGTAAAAATGGACAAGAATTCCCAACTTGGGGGATCCAAGATGGTGGCATAGTAGGTGGATGTCACATTCACCTCCTCCCAGGACCAAACTGGGATTTACAACTGGAATATAGAGCAAGAAGCCTGAATCACCAACTGAAGACAAGCTGAAGAGAAGTCTTATAACAAGGACTACAGCAGAGGCCACAGTGAGACTGGTAGAAAGGGCAGAGATGTGAAAAGGGCTGGCCCCACTGCCACGTTTGTTTGTTTGTTTGTTGGCAAGATTTGAGAGGGAAATCTAGGCGTTGGGGGTTTCCCCTGAGAAGCATGAGGTCTCAGTCTTAAGCCATGCTCCCCAGCCCAGAGCACTGGACGGGGAAGAGGTGCCTATATCACACTGGCTGTGAAAATCAGCGGGGATTCTGTCTGCCAAGGAGAGGCAGGAGTTTGCTAGAGACACAGGCACCCTCTTAAAGGGCCAAAGCACCAAATCTCATTGACAGACGTGTACCCTGGGCTCCAGGGGGAGGGTGGAGCAGACTGGAGTTGTGTGAGGAGAGACTGGGATTTGTGGCTCTGGGGAGGGAGCTGAAGGGTCAGGATTCCTGTGCGGTGTCCCCCTCCCACACTATAGATGCCATCTTTCTGGGATGGAGCACTCCCCACCATACAACATCAGCCTAGGGCAGTGGACGGCAAACTCATTAGTCAACAGAGCCAAATATCAACAGTACAACGATTGAATTTCTTTTGAGAGCCAAATCTTTTAAACTTAAACTTCTTCTAATGCCACTTCAAAATAGACTCGCCCAGGCCGTGGTATTTTGTGGAAGAGCCACACTCAAGGAGCCACAGAGCCGCATGTGGCTCGTGAGCCGCCGTTTGCCAACCACGGGCCTAGGGAAAAGCAACAGCTCCACCCTTTGGAATCCCTCTCACCCAACCCTGGAGAGCCTGTGCCATGCTGAGGAGTCAGCTGCCTGTGCTGGGGTGCAGAGATCAAGCAGACTCAGGGGGCATCAATGACTCAGTTCTATGGCTTTGTGGGGGCGGGCATTCCCACTACTTTCCCATGAACCTCACTGGTGCCTCCCCCTCATGGGAGCTCCAATAGCCCCACTTTCTGGATTTGCGGCAGCCCCACCCTCCAGACTCCTGGTGGCTCCATTCTGCCAAGATCTGGGTAGAATCCAGGACTGACTGAGTTGTGTAAATCTGGGTCAGGAGGCCACACACCCACCAACTCCCAAGCCTGACTGGCACCTCCCCCTCATGGAGATCAACTAACCCTCGCAGTGGCCCCAAGGAGCTGATCAGGTTCCTGGCAGAATATGGGGCAGACAGAGTTGTATGGCTCTAGGACAGGGGCCATTTTTCCCCTCGCATGCATGACCAGTGCAGAACTCTCCATTCACGTAGCCAAACTGTGATATGGTTGGCCCTGATAAATTCTGCTGGCCTCACCCTGACGACTCCAAGACCGCACCACATAGGTGTGCCAGCACCCAGTAGGTGACAGCTAGACTTGGCCTAGCCTGGGACATTTGCTGAGTGGACTCAGACCCAGCACTGGCACTGAGTCTGAGCCTGTAATATCTGGTGAACAACACTTGCCCCTACTTGGTGACTCATTGAGAACCTACCTCATGGAACGCAAATACCACCAGAGGCTCTTTCAGGACTGAGACTAACAGGCAGCTGGCAGGAACAGACAGACAGAAGCAGATCTCACGGTGCCTTGGGACTTTGCTGACCTGGCCCCAGCCCAGTGCTCATAAAAGCTGGAATTGGTGGGCAGCTTGGTCCTTCCCAAGAACACACAGGCCAAGCAGAGGTAGCTACAAACTATAGGTTGCTGGATAACTTCAAACAGGTTGCTCAGGACCAGTCACAGGCAATGTCTGATATTGGCTGCACCAGAGTCCCTCCCAAGAGGCCCCAGAACCAACACACCCAGTGGCCAGCTTCACACAACATCAGAGCAGGAACCAATTAGCTTCACAAGTGGCACATCCAAAGGGAGATCTCAGCAGGCAGC